AAGGATTACGAATAGAAAAACCGACAGGTAGGATAAGGTCAAACCGTTTATCATGGAACAAACAAATCAGAAAACAATTAGAAAACAATGCAAACTTATAAATCCAAGTAGAATACCCTCAGCAACCCTGAAGTGACGGCAGAAACTAGTGAAGGGATTATGGGAATTGCTAAAGAATTCTACCAAGAATTATATCAGACCAAGACCCAAACACCTACCCCAAGCAGCACATTGGAAGCAAGACAAAGAATGTTACAATATTTGGAACAAACGATATCGGCAGAACAAGCAGAAAAGTTGGACAAACCCCTATCATTGGATGAGCTTCTGCAAGCCCTTAAGAGCATGAACAATGATGACAAGGCACCAGGCATTGACGGGCTGACGAGGGGATTCTAGGAAAAATTCTGGCCAAACCTAGCAGGGGACCTATTGAACTTCTACAAAGATAGCTATGAGAAAGGGGGCCTAGGTAGCTTACTCCAAGACCCTGGCTGCCAGAATCATGAAAATAACAGATAAATGTTTTCGTATCAATCAGACGGGCTTTATCCCGGGACGCTACATATTAGACAATGTGCTGAATCTAAACGAAGCATCCAATAAAGTCAGAGAACGAGGATAAACATAGCCATACTTTTTTTTTTTTTTGAGAAAGCTTATGATCAAGTCAATTGCTCCGTTATGGACGCAAGTATGAAACGCATGGGGGTGGGACCAATCTTTAGGAAATGGGTCCAGGTCTTGTATAATGATGCCTCAGACTGTGTACAGATTAACGGGTTCCTGTCTGATAGCTACCCAATATCATGCTCAGTTAGGCAAGGGGACCCGCTCGCTCCCTCGATCTTCCTATTTGTGATGGAGGCCATTGCCTCCTACAGAAAGACCCCTCTATACACAGACTCCCAGAGGTCAACGTAGGGATGTCTCATCATCTCAAATTTTCGACAGTAATCTTGTTCGCAAACGACATGACAATGCTGATTAGAGCATCGGATTCGTCTTTTAAAGCACTCTCGAGGGCAATGGAAGCGTTCAGACTGGCATCAGAAATGAAGATCAACTGGAAGAAGACCATAGGTTGGTGGCTGTCTGACGAACAAATCCCAAACTTGCAAGGGCTTGAGGCTGCCATGTCCTGGGACACGCCGGAAACCCCCACCCGATACCTAGGTATTCTCATGACACGAAAGGGTCTGGCGCCCCAAATGGCCCAGAACATGTTAGCCAAGCAGTTAAATAAGTTGGGAAGATGGGGGAATACATTCACCTCACTGATAGGTAGGGTCCTGGTACTCAACACTTCAGTCTTCTCCATGATGTGGTACATTGCGTCGGCATGGACAATTTCGGACGACTCATTAAAGGAACTAAATCGAGTGGCTAGAACATATCTATGGACGGGCAACCCCAACAAGGTTGTATCCCAAAGATAGCATGGCAGTACATCTCAAGAAAACCAATACACGGGGGGCTAGGAATCATTGACCCGAGGTGCGAGACGAGAGCCCTTCAAGTCAAATGGATAGTCCGCCTGTTGACGAAACCAGAAACGACATGGAATAAGCTGGCCTTGGACAGCATAAGGGCCCTAGCCCCGGTGTCATCGCCAAATAACATGACGGGTCTATTCTGGGTAATGAATAAGGAATTGTCTTTGAAAAAGGTGAGGAGAAGACCCAGGAGGGAAATAGAGCGGAACATAGACAACCGCCAAACGCCGTACTGGCGGCTCTAATCCGGATTTGGAGGGAAATAATGCCAAAAAAGATTAATAGACCGAAATCGAAGGATGAGGTGCTGAGACAGCCTCTGTTTGGCAATGAGTGGTTGAAGGGCGAAAGCGATGAACCCTTGTTCTTAGACCACAAATGGCAATCATGGGTAAGGAATGGAGTTTGGACAATTAGCCACTTGCGGAACGAAGAGAAGAAGGAATGGGTGTCTGAGCAGGAGCTAAGTCCACGATTGAAGGGTTGTCATAGAAGAGGACCTAACCTGCAGTACATTAGTAATCTTGTCCCTCAGGAGTGGAAAGATATGCTGAAACAAGGGGGGCCTTGGAAAAGCGGAGAATGGGGGGTCAAAGTACAGGAGAATCCCCCCTCTAGGGCCTTCCAATTCTCACACCTACAACGGGGATCAGCTACTCAAGCGGTGTTCACCTCCTTTCCGATTGCACATTCCACGAAAGGAATGCCGTCGATTATGAACACCAACGTGGAAACGACAGTCATGGATTACTTCTTGCTCAGAAAAGTAAGGGTGTTAGGCACATGGCCGAAGTTTATCTTCAGATTTGATATGGCATTACACAACCTGGAGTTTGACCTGATGGAGTGGGCATGGAAACCAGAAAAGAGGATAAACATTAAGATGCTCACCCCCATACAGGATTACACGGTCAAATTTGGGTACAAGCTACTGCTAAAAACAAAAGACCCAGAACCGGCGATCAAGGCCAGGTGGCAAAAGCTAATAGGTCAGGAAGCCGACAACATCACACAGATCCCATAGAAGATTTATAAAACGATCAGACCAATCAAAATCAGAAGCCTTCAATGGCTGATCATATACGTGGCACTACCAGTTAATCAGTGGTTACACGTTAGGCGGAAGAGTTCAGACTCCGACAGTTCTGATCAATGTAAGGTATGTACGCAGGGTGCAGTAGAGGACATAGTACACTGCTTAGTACACTGTAGGGAGGCGACATATTACTGGGCGAGATCCTCGACCCTCTGGGACTCCCTTTTCCCGACCCCTTTCCCTGAAAAACCCATCCAACTTCTCCTTCTGACTAACATCCCTGAGCAGCTCCGGAAAGCGGAAAAGATTTGGTATGGACTTATCAGGAAGGTGACCCTATGGGTCATATGGAAGGAAAGATGCAGCAGAACGATCGAAAGAGTGTCCAACTCACGAGAGATGATCTGGGCGGAGACGAAAACAATGATACAGGCTGAAATCCTTTGCAGATGGCGGAAAATCAAACTATCATGGCCGGAGGATGAGGAACAACAAAAGAAGCCGAGACTGAGATTCAGCAGGGTATGGTTGATAAATGGGAAAGTTGCTGATTTACGAGACGACCGCATCTGCTGGAAGGACTGGCACAACTCAAACTCAGGAAGAAGTATTCGGCAGCAGATAGATGCGCACGGGCAAGGCACCTCCTGATCAGAATCCCAAAGAGAAAACGACGAACCTATACCATCACATCCGTCGAGGAACAGCCTGGGAATGGATGTACGCCACCGGAAGGCTGGAGCAAGGGAGGAAGGGTTGACTCAGAGGATGTTAGACTAAGGATACAAGGAAGACGAGGCTGGAGCAAGGGAGGAAGGGTTGACTCAGAGGATGTTAGACTAAGGATACAAGGAAGACGGGCTCCCATATCACTCAAAGGAAACAGATACACAGTCCTAAATCCCAGCCCAGAAGGGAAAGTGAGGTCCGCTGGCTGGAGGGTTAGGGTTTAGGTTTTTGTAGCGTTCAAAAGAAAGTGGAAGGCTTAATGGGATAGGGGATACCTTGACTCATGGGCAGGGCTGATGAGGGGGAAAGCACAGGCAAGCAGAAATAATGGGCGAGCTTTTTCTAGGTGACATAGCACTATCTGACAGAGCTGGTTTTTCAGGTCTGAGAGGAAAGAGTGAGTCATGGCAAGCTTACAGTCAATCCTCCACCAACGGTGGAGTAATCAATGCTGTTCAGGGGTCCTTCGGCCAAACAGGAGGAAGCGTGAGTTTCTTCTGTAATGTAATGCATTTTCTGACTTGCCGGTGGAATAGGAACCGGACTGACGCTCCCCAGAATAGAAGGAGCCAGGACCATAAGGCCCTGTTAAAAAAAAAAAAAAAAATCGAAGTAGAATCGTAGAATACTAGAAAAGGACGAATCAAGAGTGATTCATCAAACAAGCCCCAAAAGAAAACAGGTCTCAAAAGAGCCAGGAGCGGCAAGCAATAAAAGGGAAAGAAGACACATATATGGGGGACAGAGAAACGACTCATATCAACTTTACCCTTGAGCACCCCCCCTCGTCTTCTCTCCCCTCATCCCTCCAACATATACAATCACGTCAAAAACACGCTGTGCCCCACATTTCTTCTTTCATTGGCCGTTGCTTCATTTTCACCTGCTTTTGGTGTTGACGGCACAGCTCTGCAGCTCTGCAACCACTATCTCTCGACCTGTCCTGTTTAGGCTACAGTAATGAGGCCAGGTGTTCAGCTGCTGGTTTCTGGCAGTCCAAGAGACTAAAATGGTTGCAGTTTATACGTTTCTCGGCCTTTTGGCTAAGTAAGATCAAGTGTAGTATGTGTTCGGATCGGTTTAATCTCTGATCCGTGGTCCATTGGGCCACAAAGATATTAAAAATAATTAAATTAAATTTTCTGAGCCACGGAGGGGTCATAGGGGTAGGCTTGCCTGCGCAGTCCCTCTAGCGTTGCCTTCACCCTGCAATGCAGCGAGGTGTGGCGCAGCCCTCTTAAAAAAAAAAAAGTAAAACAAAAAAAAAAATAGTTGCAGTTCAGGGGAGAAGATCCAGGCGTACGGGTAGTCGCTACTTTGGGAAAAAGCTTTTTGGGAAACTGTGCAGCTTGAAAAAGATAAAAATAAGCAAGTGATAGAAATCAGCAGCTTAGTATGTCGTCCCAGTGTAGTGGTGGTTAGACTAAAAGTCTGTTCCGCACACCGAGTCCACCCTGTTTTCCCAAATCTGTATAAAGGGCATGGTGCCATGGTCATAGTCGCAGTATTCAGGGCAACTTTCCGGGGGTTACATGATAATGAGCATGTCTGGGGTGCATAATAATGAGCTTGCCTAAGTTGCCTTCTAATTAGGGAAGCGTGGCCAGGGGGGGAAGGGGGAGGCAAGGGGAGCGGGGGAGGAGGAGAGGTCTTGTTGAAGACAACCTTGTGTCTTTATTTTTGCCTTGGATTTGATGTGTCTCAGTAATTAGTTTGTGATATTCTCCCTTCTCTTGCAGGTCTCCTCTGGTATCCTTCGTTTATGAAAGAGGCTGGAGGCAATCATTTGCAAGCTATGGTGCTCCAGGGGTGGATGAGGAGGTAATTCTTTCTTTTGGCATCATCATCACCCTTTGTTTTTCTTTTTTCTCTCCTCTTTTTTTTCTTTCTTCTTTGACATCATCGCCGTTGTCATCAGGATGATCATCATCCTTGTTGGGAATGTGAGGACCCTAGGGACTGGGGTCAGGCCCAAGGGGGTAAAAAACGGTCCGGCAAGGGATTGGGCCTGCCCAGGCTGTCTTGGTCCCAGTAGTGCAAGGCAGAATCTGGGAGACTTTGCAAGGCCGTGCCTACAAACTGAAGAGAAGATCGGACGAACTACTTAAACCACCACTCCAACAGCCCCTGCACTGTTCCTTTTTCTTGTCTACAAGTACCGGGCCAAAATCTACAGTGCCTAGGGCCGGTAGAGGCTCGGTTGGGAAGAGTACCACAGTTATTTTTCCTCGCAGTGGCACTGTAGATTTTAGGCTCGGGGAAACACAACTTCCAGTTTGTCAAAATAGCTCTGGATGGAGTGATGGTGTAAGGAAGGCCTGAGTAAGTCCACAAGCCTTGCTTGGAGGAAGTCTGACTAACAAGCTGCTGGGGACTCATTGTGAGCTGTGCTAGCAGGAGGAAGGAGTGGCTTCAGCCGACAGGCAACGCCACCAACGGCTGGGCTGTGAGAGAGGTCCAAGGCTGGCGCCATCGCAGTTTGACCACTGGGAAGAAGGTCGGCACCATGGCAATCTGGGCACTGGGAAAGAAGGGTGGCACTAGTAAAGAAGGGTGGCACCATAGCTGGGAAGAAGGGTGGCACCATAGCTGTGCAGTGCCAAGATGGAAGAAGGTGGTGCTCAACGGGCAGATCCTTCGGAAAGACGAAAACCGTGGAGAAGGGGAGAGTCGGCAAGGATACGTACATGGCGGTCAGCAGGGAGAGCTCCAGCGGGGCGAGAATGTGTAGGCATGCATAAGCAGAAGTGAAAATGGCACGGGACTCTGCAGCATGACACGGTGGAGTATAGGATAGAGTAGATGATGGAGCAGGTGGTCACTGGGGCTGGTACAAAGACCGGGGAGAGCAGAGAACTACTATTGCTGCTGTAATTGGTTCGCGCAGTCGTGAAAGAGGGCTTTCATCATCAGGAGACTTCAACAGTGTTGCCTGTGTGATCATTTCTCTGTCAATTCTGCTAACGGCCTTGTTGCCAACTTGCCGTGCGCATGTCGGTCAAGTGAGAGTTCATGGTGCATGCATCTGTGTTTCTCCACAGGCCAGGTTCTTCTTTGCATCCAATATCTTCTCAATTCAATTGCAATTGCAATTGCAATTTTCAATTCAATTCAAAATGCAAATCCAAATATATCAAATTCAATTCAATTGAATCCAATTCAATTCAATATGAAATGCAATCCGATATGAAATTCAATTCACAAAGGTGCTGTGATGAGGTAGGGAATGAGGGGAAGTGTGTGGCGTCTGCGGACGCACTGTGGAGCGGTTGAGTGGTGTGATGGTCAACCGTGGCCAAACAAAAATCAACTAAAGAATTTAAATTCAACTCATTGAGTTAAGAGATCACAGGGCTCAAGACTCGACACAATTTTTTGAATTTTTCACACACCGTTCGCCTCAACACGTTTGACCTCATTCATTTTGCCTCACTCCACCACGAATGGTAAAATGAGGTGCAATGTGGCAAAACGTGGCACAAATGCGGCAGTTCGATTTCTGCATTGAGAATGATTGAATTCAATTCCACCTTTTGTCCTAAGCAACATAACGTTGAAAAAAGTAGTGGTATTTCACTTCTGCCGTAAAGCTGTCTGTTACGATCCTGGTCATTTCCCAAGTGCAAATTCACAATGAAAGACAATGCCACCCAATTGCGAAAGAAATGAAAGCACTTGCAAAGAGATAAAGACCAGAGGAGAGGTAAAGAAGAAGAAGAAGAAGAAGAAGAAGTACACCAATAAGACCAATGACAATTCCCCCCCTTCTCTCTCCACCTTCCTCCTCCTCCTTCTCTTCACCAATCTTATTCTTCTCTCAATAATAATAATAACAATGAATGGATGAACCAGAATCAATATCCGAAGTTCCCTCTTACTTCTGACTCAACTCTACAACAACAACAACAACAACAACCAGTCCACCATAGCTATGGCTTCCCTCCTTCAGCCTTCTCTCTCATGCATAGGCTATGGCGGACTACCCCAAGCAGCTAGGGTGCTGCGCTGATGTCCAAGGGACAACCCAAGCAGCTATGGTGCTGCACTGATGTCCAAAGGACTACCCAAAGCAGCTATGCGGCTGCTGTCTTGGTCCGCTATGCCTGACTCTGCCTCGAGCTTCCCTGGTGCCGCCCTACCCCAACTGGGGCCTTCCAGATGCAGCGCCCAACAAGGTGATGAAGATGGTGTCTACCATAGCCAGGTAAGTGCCCCGCCACTCTCCTACCATGCCCCCTTCTTCCTCCTCCTCAAGCTGGGTTGCTCGCCATAGCCAGGCTGAGCTCCCAGTGGCCCTTCTCCCTCCAAGCAGCGCTGTACCTCCAGCGCTGTGCTCCAGCAGCATGTCGCCAATCCTTGCACACCGCAAATGAGGAATAGCTCTTCGCTCTTCCTGAAGATATAGCGGCCTACCGGCCTCCTGGGCGGTGACTTCCTAGGCCGAGCGGCCTCCCAGCAACCGGTACCTCCTCCCTTTYGGAGGGAAACATCATTGCAGGCTCTGTTATTGTCCGGACAGGCCCTAGACCCGGGCTACTTGGACTGGTACCGGCCTACCTCTAGCCTACCGCTACTGGGCCTCTAAAAATGCCAACTTTTTGTCTTCTTCTGCTCGGCCCACCTGCTACTTGAGTGTTTTTCCCCAGCTGCTCTAAGTGCCGTGGGCCTACCCCCCGCTACCTGAGTGTTTACCCCTCCTGCAACCCTCAAAGTCACGGCCACAGGTAAGTACCGGCCCTGCGGGGCCTTGCAACCAACAAGTACCCTTGCGGGTCACACACACACTCAACCGACAAGCACTCAGACAGGCATGCAAACGGGCAGGCACGCACACACACACAGACTTGGAAAACACAGCAGAATGCGGGAATCACAGCAAGGCATTCATTCCAGTGGCAAATCCCAGAAATCGGCAGTGTTCTCAGTCTGTGTTTTTGGCGGGTCATTACATCTCCCTAGTAGTCTACACCTCTCAAGTTATTTCACAGAGTCTAGAGTCGAGCTCGACAGGGTCTTCTTTCCCTGCCGATTCTTCCAAGCCTGTTCCTTCCTTGGCTGTGGTTTCGTACAACAGCAAATAAGGACGGCAGGAATCTCGATAATCAATTCAATTCACAACACATGGAGTCTTGAGTACTTTGATGAGGTGGTAGGTAGTGCCGTGTGAAATACAGCAAAATGAGGGAAAATGAAATGTGGCAAAATCTGTGTGACCAACTTGTGATCGAGCATCAAACTACACCCCCCCCCCTCTCCCCCCTTTGCACCTGGTGGTTGAAAGAGGCAGAGGCAGACTGGGGTCTGACAGCCTGAAGGAGAAGAGCCACATCACAGCACAGAGTCCACAATCGCATTGCATTGCATTGCATAAATAGAAGGGAGTGATGGAGTCTGTGAGAAACAGTAGAAGAGAAGAAGAGAACAGAGCAGAATCAAACATCAGGCTTGGAAAGACTCGGTGGCCTAAAAAACTATCGAAAATTAGCACGTGCCGAGAACTTCACCGAAAAGCCATCCAACAGCGAGCTCTCTGCACCTCATGCTCTTATCTTCTCTTTCTTCCCATCTCTCCTCTTTCCTGTCTTGCACAGTTGCACCTACATGTCTACTGAACACAGCCAACTCTTCTGACGTTGAACCTGCCACGGTAGAAAATTACTAGAAAATTGGAAATCCTTCAAATCCCTCTAAACTTTCTTTTCAACTTGAGCATCTTCTTTTCACCTGTTTTGTTGATGGAAATTGGAACTAGAATGTGTTTTTTTCCAACCTTTTTTTTTTGTTTTTTTGTTTACCTTCATGTTATGTCCATGCAGTTCAGGCGCGCACAGGAGTACCTGGCACCGGCCAAAGGTGGGATTTTGATGGATGCCAGCTGTGGCAGTGGTTTGTTCTCTCGCCGCTTTGCACAATGTGGTGACTACTCCGCTGTCATTGCAATGGACTTCTCAGAGGGAATGCTGAAGCAGACAGAAGCGTTCATGGATGAGGATCGCTCATTGGACAACTCGTATGGCAAAACTTGCAAAAAACCCTACACCCTCTTTTTGTTTTCTTTCCCTTTGCTTTTAGGACCTGCAGTGCCTACACCTCATTATCCTCTGCTCCTCCTCTTCCTCCTTCTTTGCCTCCTCTTTCTCCTCCTCTTCTCTCTCGCCCGACCTTCTTTTCGAAATGCAATATGACTGTGAGGGAAAGAAAGAGGGCTGTGGCATCCATAGGATGGCGTGTTCAGAAACAGTAAAACTTGTAGAACTTGAAAGATAAAAACACTCTCTTGAGTTTTTTCATCACCTTCGCTAGTGTGGGAAAATTGTATCTAGGGTGGGGTCTAGTGCGGCATTCCAATCTCCTGTTAAAATTAGGTGTTCCTCACGGAAACACATGCAAAAAGAATCCTACCACATTCGGACCTTTTCTACACTGCATAGAAGCCATTACTTTACGTTCAGCTAGTACTAAAAAGCAACTCCTAGTAAAAGTGGTATTATTATTCCAAGTATTTTGGCTAAAATGCCAATTATATACAATTTCATGTTGTTTATTGTAGATTGAACCGTACCCCAAACCGACACAGGTGAACAAGTAGAGTATACTAAGGTGCTTGAGATAACCATGTTGAAGGAACTCAGCAAAATGACTCCGTAACTTCGGGAGGAGTGCTTTTCTTTGCCAAAACAGAGGTGAACAGGCAACCGTTGCAGTGGAACTTTTGACCCAATATTTAGAAATTACTTTTTTATTTCCTCGGCCAGTTTCTTTCAGTAAGATAGGATTGTTTGGATTTTGGTCTATGGTTGTCTTTTTATTGATTTTAACTATTGGTTTTGTTTATGAATGGAAGAAGGGCGCTTTAGATTGGGAATAACACATTTGGGTAATCATCAACGATATTTCACAAACAGCGACTCCCTTCCTGAATGGTCAACAGCCACTCAGACGCGCCTTGCTGCAAATCACGAATTGAAGCGGCCATCTCAAGCACTCAAAGAACGCATTGTCAGATCACCGAAAAGTATACGCCTCACACCCACGTGCTGTCTCCTAATATGCCAGGTGGCAAATCCACCATCACTTCGAAGTGATGACCAGGCGGGCACCAGGATCACCAGGGGCAGCTATGGTAGCCCGCCACTACAAGTAAAAAACAAATTTTACTTTATATTAGTTTATAATGAGGAAATTCTAGTAGTTTTTAGTTTTGTGGGTTTTGTTTTATTTAATCAAAAAACTTTTGGCGAAGCTTTCAAGGCTACTTCATAGAATTCCTTACCGAAAAGAACCCGAGAGATCCATATACACAGTCTGTGGTCTCTCCCAATTGCATTCTCTGGCCTCAACCCTTCTTGCGAAATTTCGTGACCCAGATACAACACTTTCATACGGCCAGACTCACACTTCGAGATGTTAATCATGTACTGGTGTTGTCAAAGGAGGCCTGGCACAGTCCATAAGTGTTCTGCATGCTCCTTCGGACTCCTGTTAAGGACAAGAATGTCACCTAGATCGACAACAACAAACTTATCTAGGAATTCATGAAATATACATTGGAGGGCATTGGAACGTACCGTGCGCATTGGAGGGCCGAAGAGCATCACCACAAACTCACATAATCCATATCGAGTTTGAAATGCAGTTTTGTGTTGATCCTCGGCTCTAACCTTGATTTGATGATACCCGGACATCAGACCTATCTTGCTGAAGTACTCACATCCCTGCAGCCTATGAAGGAGGACATCGATGCGTGGTAGGGGCTCCGTGTTACAGACGACGACGGCATTGCCACATGTGTCAGCTGTTGTTAACCCACATCCGTAGAGTACCTCCCTTATTGAGCAGAAGTAAGAGAAGGGTTCCATACAGTGAGAAACTCGGCCTCATCTAGCCCTTCTGGATACATTCCTTCAGCTGCTCGTGAAGTTCATCTAACTCCAGAGAGAGAGAGAGAGAGAGAGAGAGAGAGAGAGAGAGAGAGATGGCGGGAAGAGGGAGAGAGAAGTAGCAATGGTGGATTTCGGAAGGCGGGAGAACGGCCGAAGGTGGGATGGTGGGAAGCGGCAGAAGAAGTCGGGAGGGGAGGGGGGGGAGAAAGAGAGAGAGCGCAGGTAAGTCTCCAACCTCACGGCTGGCCTCCTGGTACTTCCATCGATAGGATGAGCAAAATCGAATGAATCTACCGCTAGAACATGGAAATATACATTGTGCACACACGCGCAGCACACCAGACGTTCGCAGCGCGCACTGCGCACCCAGATGCGCGGCGCTCGCCAATGCACGCGCACCTCGGGTCCGCGGACAGCGCGCTGCGCAGCGCACAGTGCCGGTGCACCGCAAGTATGGTTTAAAGTTTAAGCCCTACCGAGGCTACCAGCATGGCATGGGACCACTTGTCCAGCCGTGCCATCGGAGCCAATGCAGCCTGGAACCCAAATCGTCTTTTTTAAGTTTTCTTTTTTTTTTTAGTTTTCTTTTTTTCTTTTTTTTTTAGTATAGCATTTGGGGGTGACCTGCGGGCAAAACTTGTTTGATAACTTGTTTTTTTTTTTTTTTTTTTTTTTTTTTTTTGAATCTTTCTGGGATCCTTGTCCGGGATTTGCCCAGACCTAGCCTGGCCGGGCCACCTGCGCAGCCCAAGTTGGTCCGGGTGTCCCAGGTGGTAGGTAGCCCAGATTCCTACCCATATAGGACCACCTGTCCTAAACTAATTGCAACAGTCCTAATCACCTAACCAAATAGCAATTGTACTTGCAAAAGAAAAGCATGACAAATGGAATTCACACATGACGCAGTCCAGTATACAGTCGGTAACCACCCGTCTTGTGCTTCGCTCATGCCCATTGCCTTAACTAACGGCTTCTACCAGGTGGACAGTGTGCAGGGCATTTAAAATGGACCCACCCAGGGCATAGCAATCAAGTGGTCAGCACACCCAATCAAGAATCATTTAGCAGAGCAGCAGGAAGGGCAAATCATGAAATATTTAACGTCGCAGCAGGACGATGACTCAAAAAACCATTTGATGTCGCAGCAGGACAATGAATTAATCAAGAATTAGTTAATGTCGCAACAGGACAGCATGGTCAAGATGCCTTGCTATGCCCTGCTGATGCTGAGTGTGTATTCTGTGCATGCACGCCTGAACTTCTGCCACATCCACCTTATCATCAGGGCCCTTCCCATACACCACCACCCTTCTCCCACCAGATGCATCAGAAGCAGGATGACCCTCAAGGCTGTGTGACCACTCTTGAGCAAAACGATCTTCCTCACCGTCTGAAGATAATCTGACAGGTAGATAGGATTTACTGTTTAGGATAAGCCTTGCTAATCCTGCTGACTCAACACGAATCGCCTGACCAACTTCAGCTGCTGCTGATGCTGTTTGAGGACCGGTCAGCACCGAGGAACTACCAGCAGATTCACCAATAATGTGAGCCTTACCGCCTCTCGCTGGAGTCTAGCAACGGCACTCACCAATAAATACTCCCGTCGCTCGTTGATGCTTCTGCACATCTGCTCTCAAACTAGCGGATGAGTCGTCCAACTGGCAAAAATTGAACACACTGCCAGTCAATCCTGTTGCCAGCCTGCAGCCTCCTGTTGATGCTTACTCCGCCTTCCGCCCATCTGCTCTCAACCTCGCGGATGAGTCGTCCAGCTGGCGAGAATTGAACACACTCCCAGTCCATCCTGTTGCCAGCCTGCAGCCTCCTGTTGCCGGCCCCGAACCTTACTTACCCACCAGTAGGCGACAGCAACCTTCCCTAGGAGCTGCTCCGATACCTTGCATGGAACCGCCCGCTGAGAACTCAATTCATGACTAGCGCAAACTTCTGATCAGCATGCGTGAGTAGCCCAAGCCGAGAGCAGAATTGGAAAAAGGACAAGATGAAAGTCGCACCTGTACAAGAACGCACACCACACTGACATCTCTTCAAGTTGATTATGAAAGCCCTCTTCTCACCTCCGTCCAACCGACACAACAACAGAGTAGTTAGTTCCCAACTCAGGTAAGAATCACCCTATACTACTGCCTAGTCTAGCCTATCTATCTCATCCACCACGCCACCGAGCTCTGTCGACTGTTGCAGATGACCACTTGACAAGTCTGTCTGACCCCACTTCAAGTGGCTTTCCCTGCCGACCTCTGTTAAGTGTCTGCCGAATTCTCCCATACCGTTCCTCGCCCTCCAGAGGACCACCTTCGTTCAACCGCCACCCCTACTATATATGGCACCCAACCAGCCATGGCGCCCAGCTTCCCTTCCCAACATCTACCGCTATCGTGCTGGCTGGCGACTGTACAATTGTCCTGTTACTTATGCTCACATGCATTGACCTAGCACCGTAGCAGCCAGTCAGCAACCTGCCGTCCGAATGTCCCCTTGACTCGCTAGGCGCTAACTTATATTCCGGGTCTTCCCTAGACTGGCAGGGACTGCCTACCAGAAGTTTCTGGATTGAGATGAAATCCAACAGGACTCAGGCAGTGTTACTGGGTTCCCACCTGGGACTGCCGGGCCTATATCTCCTGTACGAGGGAGCGAGGGCCTACCAGCCCTGTACTACCTGCTGTGCAGCCTAGGGGCCTTGCAAATTATAGACCGACGTTTTGAGTCTATGGCTGTAGATTTGTTGCTACATCCACGCCCTGCCACAGTGGTGTTTTAGCTTGCAATTGTAGAAAAGTCTGAAAAGGCAGTGGAATAAAGGCTGATGGTATATAATTGCAACTTGCAAGCTAAAACACCACTAAAACACCCACAGGCTTCTTGAACTGCAATTTTAGAAGTGCAGTGGAACAAAGGCTGATGTCCTCGTCCAGTCGAGAAAGCAGTGAAAATGATGACTCAGGTATGGTGGGCTTGACAGGTGGGACCAGAATTTCCACCCATGATGGGGGGGAATGACATTCAAAGACTTTCAGACTGGGTACTCTTCATGTTGAACTTGTAAGGCCAACTGGTAGAAGAGACGATGGACCAGGACCAACAGGGTCCGAGAAAGAAAATAGAAGGGACATCCCTTGCATTCTCTCTTCACCCACGCCCCTCCCCCCCCACTCTTTTTTTTTTTTTTTTTTCCCCGGAAAAAGGCTTTCATTACTTAATTGGAAAGAAGGGGCCGGCCACCCCACATAAAGGCCGGGTCTGGGAGCATTACACAGTGTTATGCTTTTGACACGACCCAAAGAGGACCCGGAAAAGGAGGCAACCACCTTAAACTTCCCTGCTCATTTTCCTACGCTTGAACCCTAAACCCTACCCTTTTCTACTTGCTGAATACTTCCTGTACCCCCTCCCCCCCCCTGTTCTATATTGCATTCTGTGTGGCAATTAACGATCTGACATTGATGTTGCTGCCGCTCATTGAAATTATGGTGACGAACCTGAACCTGAACTTAGATAGATGAGGAGGAGGAAGAGGACAATGACAACTGTGATGATGATGATGATGATGATGATGATGATGATGATGATGATGATGACAATGATAATGATGAGGATAATGATTGATGATGATGATGGAGGAGGAGGAGGAGGAGGAGGAGGGGGAGGAGGAAGAGGAGGAAGAGGAGGACGAGGAGGATGACTAATGCAGGCCTGTACACATACTCCTGTTGAGATGATGATGACAGTTCTATCGTGCTTCTGCGGGCAGACATCGGTCGGTTACCTTTTCCATCCAAGTCTATCGATGCAGTTCATGCAGGTGCTGCTCTCCACTGTTGGCCCTCACCTTCCCTCGCGGTAAGCATTCTCCAACCCCCTTTTCTTTTTTCTTTTTTCTTTTTTCTTTTT